CAAATCAAGACCCATATTTTAAGAGCTGCTTACAATATGTTAAGGTCACTGACACACACATTTCCTTAGGTGAAGTTTGACCACCTTAATAACAAGCATATTGTTTTCAAAATGAATTTCTTTTTTCTGTCAATCATAATAAAGACTCCAAATTAAGAACAGAATATTTTTATAAAGCATTTGTAAAATATCACCAACACTTCAAAGATTATTGCAAATTGGGCAGTTTGAAGGTGTTACGCAGATGAAATTTCTTAAGCAATATGAAATATAACATGATAATGTTAATATATGAAATGTATTAATATAATTTTATTATTTTGTTATTACTGTGCAGGTTATGACAATCAAATGAGGAATGATGTACTATAAATTGCATTTGACTCTTTCCATATTAGGTATCTTTTAAATGGTTGGGTTAACCTGAAAATAGTTTTCTGGTCATTTGTGTTAAGACGGATATTCTCATGTTGAATTCAATAATAGAACCCCTTGCTCACTGTTGTAACACCAAAAATGTACACAACAAAAGAAAATACACTTAATTCTTTTAAAGAATTTGGAAATAAATTTGGAAGAAAAACTATGTTAGAGTAGCAAACAAGAAAATAATGCACTTGCAGGATTCTGCTGACTTTAAAAATCAGTCAGGCTGTGGCTGTAGGTTTTCTTTACTGTCAGCAAAACCCAAGTAAATTATTTCCCTGTATCTCATTCGCTAGTCTCTTATTTTCTGCTTAGACTGTCATTACCAGCCATTTCACGGCAGGACTGACCTGCGTTTGCTGAAAGCCAGTGACAAATTAACCAGTGAGTTAGATGTGGCCTTTTGAGTCTTTTTGTATGGAACACCTACGCTGCAGTGCCAGTGTGAGAGCTATGTAAGATTAATTGCTGGAGACTTTTTTTTTATGTCACCCTGTGCTTTTAAATTGCTGAATCTGCTTAGGAAATGAAACACCACTTGTGTCATTCATTGTGTTTAAGGTGTGTTTCTTTTGGTGATTATTTTTTTTAGTTTCTAACCTTATCATTACAACTAGCAAACAAAGGAAAATTTGCACTGAGAGAAAAAGCAGCAAGCATTATTGGCAAATACAAGGTAGCTGCAAAGCTGTTTTTTCTGTAGTTGCTATTAAATACTGTAATTGGAAATACATAGGAACAGATTAAATGGGTCTATATATTGTTTTTGCAAAGGCATCCACATCAATTCAATGTAGATATACTGAATGCTAAATACAAAGAATGAAAAAACAAATCAGCTATTAAAACTGTTTCATATGTTTCTAAAAAAAATTCCCAGTGTCTTGTAACAAACTTAATCCTAGCCTGCTTTCATGGATCTTTTTGTTAATGTCTTGCAACATTTTCAAGTCCATTAACAAATGTCTAATTATTAATAAAAATAAAAATATCATGTGGCTCCTAGACTACATTTATTAGTGTGACAAGACTTACAGACTTGTTTTTAAAATTGACTGATCTGTAATTTAGGATTTGTTCCAGAACTTTAATAGCCTTTAATTTTGTTGTTTCACAGGTCATCATCAATATTTTGATGGGATGATCAACATAGAATAACCCTCTTTCATTTGGATGTTGTAAATAAACAAAAGGTGATTGCATAGGCATTTTGTTCTAGGTGAGATCTGAATACAAAAGAATTTTAACTCAATTACAATAAATGGTCATTTTTTATGAAGTTTCACAAACAAATGATGCTTGTTTCGTCATGTAAAACTGTTGTCTATGTTTGAAATCCCACTAACCTACAATGAAAAAGTTAAGGCCTTAAGGTTAAAAAGATGTGAGCTAGGTGTGAGAAAGAGAATAACTTCAATCTGTCCTAAGCCCCTGATCTCAGATCAGATCAGATCTCAGACAAGTATTAAGGTCAATTTGAAGTCACAAACCACGTCAACGGGAAATACTAGGGAATGATTTGCATTTGTCAGTTCAGTGTTATTATTACTAACTTTGAGGAGCAGTCAATTAAAAACATCTAATTTTCAAGACCTGTGGCATATATATGTGATATATACCATATACATTCCAGGGGTGACCCCTTATATAGTTCTCAGATTCACTTAGGTATATTGTGGGCAATTCAACGCAAATGTTCATATGCATTATTGTAATTGAGGCTTGCCTTCAAGTTTGCATCACCATCACCAACACGAGCAGCCCAGAGACAATTTCTTTATTGAAAAGCATGACGGCTTTTGACCACTGAATTAAGGTTGCAGCTTGGCATTTCTTTTGGAAGGAAAATTATCTATCGGACGGGTGAAAGATCGCCACCAGAGAGCGGTCTCAAAAAGAGGGCTCTTGGAGCTGTTTAACATTTATCCGAAAGTGACTGTCTTGTTTTGTTACAGGTAATGAGAAATTAACTCCCTACTGGGACCTTTACAACCAGACTGCAGTAATGGACCCAAAAGTCTATAAACATTTTTTTATCAAGATATCTAGTGGTGCAATAAAGCAGCTGGGTTTTTCAACATTTTTAGCAATGAGTCACACTGATGGAGGGTGCATGTGTGTGTTTGTGATAGTTGTCTTTTTACAAACAAAAACAATAGAGCTGGCTGGTTTTTTTCTCAAACTAAAATGCGCATGTTGAAGCTCACAAGAACATCATTTAAAAACAAGGGAAATGGATACAGTATTAATAACAGTATGAAAGCAAATCTAAGGTCAAAGGGCTTTATAACACACTTGGTTCAGACCTATCCCAAGATTTCAACTTACAAGAACAATTACATCCTTGTTTTTGTAACATGTGTGTTTCAGATCTGTTTTCAGTAGAGATTAGCAGGGATCTATAAAAAGATGACCGCCTGATGGATATTTCTTGGAGTCTATTAAAATGGCTTTAATTGCTCTTTCCACGAGTCCAACATAGTCATCATGCAAATAAGCAAGGTGACATTCCCTTTGTTTTCAGACTTCATGCCTAAATCCCACAGAACACATGACAGCTGAACTAAGCTCTGTGCTGCTGGGAGGACCGAAAGCAGTTGTGAAGTGAAAATTCTGTGGTTCTTCAGCAGCAGGCTGACGCGACACAAATTCTCTCTAGTCAGGCACTAAAAACATTCCTGTGCTTTTTAAAGGAAATGACTACTTTATCATCATTTTACAGAATTCTGCAGTGTTAATACGTTCTAAATATACTATAAAATAATGGTTTAGAGACGTGTTATATATCTAACCTGCAAAGATAAAATCATAATTTATAGTCAACAATATTGGTATGCTTAAAGTGAAACAATGTCATTCATGCATTTTCTTAACAGATCATGTTAATTGAATCATATCTTACTTTTACTACAGACTTAAACTAGTCTTTTTAAAGTTTATTTAACGCCGATTCCTCCTAACATGAAAAAGGTTTCTGGTGAATTAATGGACTTCAGACAGTAGTGCCTAAACTTATGCCAGCATCATCATAGATACCCATGTGCATGATGTAGAATGAAAAGCTACTAGGCAGGAATGTGTGTGCTTGTCTGATCCATTCTGGTTTTTTTTTCATTCCAAATGTGATGTCTGTCAAGGCTGCTGTTTATAATGGCAGAGTCTTCATTTTAAATATGTAGGTAGGGATATGTGTAAGCTCTCAAGTGCAAGCAATTGCAGTAAAACAGAATGCATTATTCCCTTTATCTCCTTCACTCTCCCTTGTTATGTGGCTATTATATTAAAGCACGAGGGTGTGCAGACCGTATGTGACTCAGAGGAGATAGTTCCAGATTTTGGACGAATTTGCTGGGACACCATTAAGGGCAAGCATGCCTGAAGACCTCAGTATAGTAAAAGCTGGAAAGCTGCATCATGAACACAGTGCCAGTCAGAAAACATCATATGTGTTTTTGACCTTGAAGTCACAGCTCCAGTACCCAGCTCCTTAGCAGCAGGAAATAAAATCTTGCTTCAGCCACAGTATTCTCATTGGCTAAGGGCAAGCAAACTGTTGCTGCTTCTGAGCTTTGGGACAGCATGTTTACACACTAGATAACCTAAAGACACCAGACAATTTCCGCAGCCACAGAGAAGATAAAAAATAAATCAGCAGCAATAACAACTCTGCCACAGGCTTGCCAGTCACCATTCATGAATCCCCCTGAGCCCCTTGCCTGATCCCTGTGAAATCATCCCATTAAACCTTCTTTCCTTCTCCTGCACTCCCTAATAACAGATCACATTCCAGGAGGGAGCTCCAGCTCCTCCGATCTGGACTGTACATACGTGCCACACATCTGACTAATATCTTGCTTTTGAGAATAAGGTGGGCACCACAAAGAATTAACACAATCAAATGTTCATGTCTATACACTTACTGCATGTATGCTTTGCTGAGATTATGTATGACTGTCCATTCCAAATTACATGAAAGCCTCCACCGTCTGCTCTTCGGATATTATTCTCTTATTCATACAAATCCTGAAATGTCAAAGTAACATCATTCTCTAGTTTGAAAGAAAATCATTTAGAAAGGCATTTTTAAAAAACAAAGTTCAGTTTTTAATCATTTTTGTGTAACACGTGATTTAGACTAATTCTTTGTGCTGATCAACTTTATAGATTTTCTAAAAAATGTTTGAAAGCCACTCATTACAATGAGCTGAAACACCTACACAAACATTAGTATGATCACTATCCATTAAATCTGTATGCCTCACCCTCTTTAACACTCACAAAGCGCAGGAAACTCAATTCAGCGTTTTTATTTGCTTTTTGTTTTCCTTAGTGCTCCAAGGGACATGGGAAGCAAGAGCTTGTGACTGTATTTCAAGTGAAAGTTGATTTAAAAAAACAGGGCAGACCAGCAATCGGTAACAATCTATCAGAAGACCTTTTTATTCTATTAGCCTATCATTTTACTAAAACTGAGCCATATTTCAAGCTAAAACGAAACACTGAGTACTAAATGGCATATTAGATTTGTTCACAAAATAACTATTGATTTCTTAGAAAGAAGAAGAGAAATAACATAAATTACTTTAGATTTATTCGTGAGCATATATTTACAGGAATTACATAGTTTTAAAAATGGACATTACATAAAATGTGTGAGTATTACATTCCATAAATGTGAGAACAATATAGGAGGGAAAGCATTTTTTTATAATTACACTGCATAAAGACAATAAGGTGCTATGGTTAGTACTCTGACTGTGCCATTATGTTGAGTACAGTAATTCACCCTCTTTTCATAGACTGATATGTAGAGGCTTACAGTATGTGAAATAAAGGATGGTGAAGTTAAGACTTCATGTCTTAGATAAACACTTGTGTAAATAATACCATAGTATAAGTCTAATTATCCAGAAATGTATTCACTTCTTTGCACTTTGCATCTTTGACATCCTCCTTGTAGAGGCACCATAGATGTGTTTGTACAGAATTTGCACAAATGTTTACTGGATTCAAATTCCACAGCCCAATGGACTTGCTTCTCTCTCTGCCAGCATTCTAACTAACCAGTGAATTGGATCTTTCTGCATTCCTTTTCTTTCTCTTTCCGTAGGCAGATCATCAGTATCCCATGTTGACATACCAGTATGAGTATCATTCTACCACTATTTAAGAGAAAACTGCTTGACACAGTGACGGGAATTAAAACGGCAGGGTTGGTCATGTTTACCTGTTTCTACAGAATCGTTTCTAAAGTTCTGAGTGAGGTATGTGCAGTGAACTACACAGCAGGACAAAGAGCAGAACTGCCAGTTTTGACAGGACTAAGGGAATCATGGACGAGGCCTTGTTTTAAAACTAGTACACAATCATCTTTTGAGACATTTCCTTCATTAAATCCCTGTGGCCCTGTGGGGACAAATCCCAGGCACAGCAAGATGAATTCACACTGCCATATATATATATAATTCAGACGGTAACGTTTATTAAAATTACTTTCATGTTGGAAACAAAGGGCTGGATTCATGGTACAGTTTTTAAATAGGTCAGTTTCAAGCACATTACATACACACACATACACAGTGTACTATGTGTCAGTTCTTTAATGTCTCAGAGCTTATGAAACCAACTAAGGTAATTTGATAATAAATAAATATAGATGGCTTTACTCAAGACGAAACCAGATTGGAAAGTACCTGATCTACCTACTGTCGTTCTACCTTTTACCATGCTCTTACAGCAGAGTATTTAGGAATGCAAGCATTTCATTGTCAATGACTTGAGTTCGCCATTAGCACATGTTCGTTTATCAACATTATTTTCATCATCTGTGAACTTTAGCTAATTACTCACATGTTGCAGTGATGAATGAAAACGTAAGGTACTTGTAAAGAGCCTTTGGGCACCAGAGTTTCAGCTCGATATACAGAAACCAACTAATATATTTACATTGTGAATACTGAACACTGTAGCTTACCGGTAGCAAATACTAACATAATACAGTAAATTCCTTCTGCCAAAAGGGCACATTGATATGTCAATTTGCAGACATCTGGAGCACAAAAAGCCACAACTACACACTCTGGATGACCTCAATCAATAATAGAGATATCCTTGTGAATAAGAATTCCATTGTTTATGATAATAAAGTGGTCCATGTGAATTTGTTGACAGAAATGCGAAGTTTCACACTGGTTACTGCATGGAGAGTGCAAAAAACACAGCTGAAAAAGTGGATGATTCATGTAAATATAATTATATTTGCCTATTTTTATTGTCAAACACTGTTTTCATTTTTGCAAAAAAGTAGGCCAAACTTTTTATATGAATACTCCAGTTTTCCAATATACCACAAAGATTGTTTTCTTAAATCAGACAGTTTTCTGAGAATTACGAAAATAGTTCTCATACTACCAGAACCAACAGTGGACACTGCTGAATTACATGTGAGTAATAAAATAATAGCTTCACAAAAACGTCACAACAGTTAACTTAACAGTACTCCCAAAATGAATGTACAGTGCTCTACGTGAGAGGCATAATACAACAGATAAATAACAGTAGTTACAGTTTAGAAGCCGTACTGAATTGCTTTGTTTTCAAACGATCATGTGAGTGCTATAGAGTGAATTGAAAAACATCTGGTTCAGAAAAATAAACTGCTAAAGCGGCTACTAGATTAAGAGATAAAATGTTCAGTGTAAAACTATTTTTGGCATAGTTTTCCAACAATTTGTCGAAGAAAATTTCGTTTCGCGTTTTTTAAAATAATATCATCTTAAAATTGTGCTTCATTTCATAGACAGTTATACGGGATTTAGGTCTTTGGTTCAATATTCATCCGTTACATACTTTTTTTTTTTATTTGTTGCACTGCAACGTATTTTATTTAATTTGAAAGTCGGGAATAAATAGAGATGTGCATTTTTTTATTACTATTATTCCAATTATTTTTTGTTAAGTGAAGAACCAGCTTCTGCAATCTATGCAAACTGGTCTGTTATGTCACAGTACTGCGCGCACATATCGGTTCCTCTAAAACAGGATCTCAAGACAGTTGCACTTTCTATGCTCGAAGGAAAGGGTTATACTTTCCCAGAGATGACAAGAATTACAGGCAGAATGCTGTCAAAGCAATTCACAGCAGGTATTTCTTGGTCGAGGTTAGAAAATTTGTTATACGGCCGCGTTTTGAAACACCGATGTGTGTATATTTTGTTAGCAATTTTACAGTAGCGCGAATAGCACCACTGAGTTTTCATATGGTGGAAAATATCCGAAAAATTGTATTTTATTGTGTGGATTTATTTTCATTAAAATCTTAAGCTGTTTTCTCTCCTCTGCGATCTCACATTCATAAATGTCAAACATAAAAGAAACATTGCAATAAATACAATAATAACATAGCACGCTCAAATACAAAGTTAATATTTCTTCCATGTTGAAAAGCTATACGTCTTTTGTTCATAGCCAAGTCTACAAAAAAAGATAACCGTCGTGGAAATGGATGTTTTCCTTAGGACCACCACTCGGTAGGAATATTGACAGAGATGTGACAGACAGCCTTTAGTTAGCGCATCAACGGACGACTATAAGCAGGCTGCTTTGATCCTTCCGCCGAGAGCCCCGTTTAGTAACCTGTGAACACAATAAATTGAGGTTCAGGTGATTCTGCTGTCGTAGCGCTCGACATGTTAACACACACCTTCCATGTGTTCACAAAAACTTCATGTTTTTGTGAGCACAAACTGTTAACACGGTGTGCTGCTGTTAAACAAAATACCTGCGCGTTCCACACACCTTTTATTAGGCCTATTGCCTAGAACAAACTGTTTTCCAAAAACAGATTAAAAAGGAAAGGACAAAGAAGCGCACCACATACTTTAGCAACGTCCAGCGGCAGAACCCAGATATTGGGGTAAAACAATACTTGAACCATTTTAACGAAACTGACAATGATGCACGAAACAACTTAAACGGCTCCTGTGTTGCTAAAGTAATTTAATTAATGTATACATTTTAAATAACCTTCCATTCACCCAAAAGTTCGCCTTTATCGGTTCCAAATAATAGATTTAACAGCTTTGAAAGGAGGAATATCTGTGTTAGGGGGTCATTTTCCGCAGACGGTAAGTATACACGATATTAAATATACTGCATTTTAATAAAATGCTAGCCCCTCTTCACAAAACATGAAAAATATTTATGCACACCAGCTTAATGCGATTCATATTTTTAAAAGGCTATACTGGTGTATTAACAAGAAACGCTGTTGGTTTTATAGAGTTGAACAGAAGTTATAACGAGGATTGGATTGAGTTCTATAAAGGCTGATAGAAAACGCAACCTTCAGTATTAAAAAATAATTTAAAAATCATGAGATTGGAAAACCTATACACAAATATCGTGAGACAGATTTGTGACTCAAAAATAAATAGCTGTGAAGAAAGCAACGTTCACATCGGGCTTACCGCAGATGTTGTATGCCCAGCAGGAGATCATGCTAAATTTTGGGAGTTTCTGATCATTTTGTGCCCTGGCAACTGAACCACCAGGAGCTGCTGTTTTTGCCTCGTCGATTTCACTGCCAGGATAGCCTGTCTGTTCTTATACTGCACCATTTGTAAAGTAATTTCGGCGTTCCAGCCTTCGTCCTGCGGACATCGAAAATCAATCTCTTTGCCTTCTATCATCACCACCGTGAAGTAAATGTATTTGCCCTTCCTCTCGACGCAGTCCACCGTCTTCATGTTGGAGAAGTGGAGCTCTTTGATTTTGCCGGGCTCGCTGGAGGGGCTCATCTGGTGGTGCTGGTTGTGCGTGTGGTCATGCTGTTTCGGGGGGTGAAGCAGGAGCCCCTCTTCCGTCAGGATGCAATGCTTCTTCTTCCACAGCTGCAGCAGACCGTCGCTTCTTTTCTCCAGCAGACCTTCTTTGAGTACCTTGCCGCTGATCTCCAACATAATGGAAGAGAGCGATCGCCTGATTTCCTAGCTAAAGCAGAGGAGCTTTGTCCTGGCTCGGGGGAATGTGAACATCAGCTCTATTCAGGCGACTGTTGTCTATTTATAGCTGTCTTCCCCGCCAAGCTCCACGACTCCCGTCTGCAGCGGTTGCAGAAATATGACTGATACTCTCATTCACTCTGACGGGGTTTTTCCTAAAGCTCTTCCTGTGTGTCCGCCCCCTGACTGACACCCAGTGGAGAGACGGGCTCACATTGCAGTTCCCCACCCCCCCAAAAAAACGTGGCAAGTGTCAAAGTAAAGCACAGCTCTACAAATGTGGTCAAAGAAGCAGATTCAATATTGGAACCGAGTTGTCGAAATTTGTTCCAAGCCTTTTTGTTGAAACTGACAGGTACAATTGAACTGCCTATGAGAAAAACCGAAGAGGGTCCGCCCCTCGACCACATAAAACTAAAACTGCACTTAAAACCCACGGGGTTCATATTTCAACACGTGGATTGAAGTTAAAGGTTTTGGAAATATTCTCGGATAACACACTGGGTATGTATTTCAGATGGGTATGTATTCGCGCACAAGTTCAACGAAAATGTTTCATGGCAGTCTTAGCCCTTAACGCTAGTATTTCCCGAAATCCAGTCCTTGGGACATTATCGTCGCGTCTTTGTTCCAGTTGAACCCAGTTCTTTTAAACAGTTGCGTATTACTGGCTGAGACCGAATCCAGAAATAAATGTTTTAACCGTGAAACGCTGGAACTGCGAAATGTTAAAAGTTAAAGGCAAGACGGGCTATAAGAAAGGAGAAATGTCGCGTGAAGACGGTAGTTTCTAACATTGCCGCCAGCTGAGTCTTGTAATACCCGAGTAGGGGACAGCCTATGTTCCCCGTTAGCGATACCATCAGCCTGTCCGAGTACGTTACTAACATAACTCAGTTATATTGTGGGGAAGACTAACAAAATGCCCGTTTTGGTCACCATCGTGCGTACAGTATAATCTAAGAATACGACAGCTACTCCACAGTATAATTAGGCTTTTACTTCTACTGCGTTTCAAATTGAAAAACATCCCCGACTATACTTAAAATTCCCAGTCGTACACTCAACTAATTTTACTTACATTGTGTTTTAGCTTTGTTCGATTAATTTCACCACTATCTGAACAGGAGCTCTATTGATGGATTAAACAATACAAACCGTAACGTTTTATTCATATTTAAAACCTAAATACACCCTAACAAGGAGGCATGGATCATTAAAACTTGACTGTGTAGCACAGTCTGTGTATATCTGGACGCAGCTACTAAAAAAAAAATAACGCTAGAAAAATACTTAAGCAAAAGTATAACCACAGGAAAGGCTACAATAAGCGTGCTAACAGGGAATGTCTACTTGGAGATAACGAGTTTTTCCCACTGAGATGTGCGTAAATGAACTAAGGTTCGTACAATTGTGAACGTAACTAAGCAGATCTATATTGCAAGACTTAACCTATTAGTTATCAAATGTACAATCTGGAATCCCTAAACGTATTAGAGCAGCTGTTTAGAATAAATCACAGGTAGCTGTAACTTTTTTTTTAAGTGTTTTTAACGAAAAATCGTTCATATTAATTAAAACCCACTTTAGCTGGGACTTGCAAAGGTAGAATATAACGGTTAATTCTAAAATCCCAACACCTGGGATATACATAAGTGTACACCATGCACTTCTAAAACGAGCTCAGTATTGAGAAGTTAGAATGATAATCCACAAACCGCTACAGAATAACGTGTTACACCACCGTAGCAGCTAACAAATGTATACCAAAATGTATACAAGAGAAAACGGGACAAAACGCCTCCTTGTGGCCAAATACCACTATGCTTTACAGAGAAGCAGAGGATAAAGCCGTCTGAAGATTTGCATGCTTTAACATTCCTCTTCTATGGCAGTCAAGAGCCACAAAGTGAAAAATCAGTTATAAAAATGTACCAATTAATCCAGCAAAATTTTACTGTCAATAAAAGCTTACAGGATAAACCACAAACCCTTCAATTACCATGATTAACCACTGGCTATGGGTTCATATCTGGCCAATCCAGTGTTATGACCTTTAATATTAGGATATACAATACCTGGAACTATAGTGTATCATTCTAAAACAGGAGTCAACATGCAAAACACAAAATCCCAAACTTTGAAGTACCAAAGAAAGTATTAGACCAACATAAGACCATACACGTTTAACCAATTTATTCATGAATATACATACAAGTACAATTGAGTACATTAGTATTTTGTAGCATAGCATTTTGCTTTGACAACAGCTGATATAAAGGATCCAGACAGAATCCACTAGTTTATTTTACAGTCAGATAGGTATTGATCTCCCACTGAACTTGTAATATTTCAAAGGTTTAATCTCCAAGCTATCTGTGGGTAAGCAATATACAAACCCACCTTGTTCAGGATGTGGACAGAAAAAGTGCACAGTATACAACGTTATTCTTCAGTGTCTAAAAAGACATTCCTTTGAGTAGGTTTCAGTTAACCAAGATATTCCTGGACGTCTGGACCAGAAAGCGTTATTCTGAAGACTGGGCAGAAGTAAGGCCCTCTTCCTGTGGGCCTTCAACTGCTCCTTTGTTCCTGGTGAACACCTCTAAATAGACCACAGCCAGTACATGTACTCTATTCACAGAAGTAGGTATTTAAATGGAGTATGGCCACATTCAGGCAAGCCAGCCTGTAACAATCTGGTGGCAGATCCACAGCCATAGCAGCACCCCCATTTCAACAGAACAGAATGATATTTGCTAGTTTCAGGAGCAGTAAAATAAAATAAAAAAAGCACAGAACCTATAGGAGGACTCAAAACAAATCCAAACCCATTCCTTCCATGAACACTGAAATATGCACCACTAAATTGAGTATTTTGTCTAAGGCAATCAGAATTCAACTAGAATAACCAGGCAAGAGATGCAATCCAAATGGAGAATTCTTAGGAAAAGCTTTTACAGCAGGTATAATGCGTCAAAATTAATGTCAATTCCTTCCAACAGTAAGTGCTCTTCAATTATAGTTATAAAAAAATAACCCAAAACACAAAAATTCAGATTACACCAAGTTGTAAGAACATGACTTTTTTTTTTTAAAAGTGCTACAAAAAGGACAATAGTTTTGATTTTTTTTAAATTATAGGACCTGCATTGGGGGTGGATGAAACAGCATTAAGTATACTGCAACTACTGACTACCCATGGCACCCAAAAGCATAACCAGTACAGTACATCAGCACTCCAGTTTTAACTGCTGCAGTGGGCTCATTGTACTGACAACCACAGGGGCTTAGTGCATCTTCACCCATTTCCCTTACGATTTCCAATGAAGACTAAGTCATAACTGGCATGCATATCAATGCAACATTTCTGTACTTATGTAGTTGAGGTAATCTTTCGACAACTTATTTGAGTTTCAGAAGGCAATATCTGAAGTACACATATGAATGGAGCTTTAAAATGTGCATCGGTTCATGTCACGCAAATAACAGAGCAGTTTAATATACGACTCCCTAGAAATTAAAATGCCCTTTTGCAAAGTTACTTAACAGGAATGTATACATTGCAATAAAATAGACATAAATACGCAACCCATTTCTGAAAACACTACTTTTGTTTTTATTCACACCCAAGTGGTACACAATAACCTTTGTGGTGTACTAGAAAGGTTCATAGATAACCATTTCACATAAAAAAGCATCAACAGTGTATAGACTGAAGACAGTTCTCAACTGTTTTTCTTCTTTGATTGTGCACTGTTTCTTCCCCTTTGCACAGCCAGCCACAGATATTTTTAATGAAATGAATGTTTAAAATTACAAGTCACTGCAGCACTGCATTTCTATAACAAAATAATGAAGGCACAGCTAGTGCAAGCACAGACTTCTCAAACCCATTGAGACTACTGGGCCGAAAGATTACTTTGGTTGGTTCTTCAGGAAAGGAATAGGTTGGAACAAACACTGGTCTAAAGTATTTTGAAAATTCAGTCTTTCCACAGCTGTTGTCTAAGAGCAATACAACAAAAGACTCCACAAGAACCCAAACTAACAGTGAAGAAACAATGTCATGCTGTTTTAGAGGGATTTACTGCATTCTAACTATTTGTACAGAGAAAAGTTCTAGTAAAATACTATGCAGGACAAGCCAAGTCTTGGAACTGGCCTTTCATGATTTTGTAACAAAAACTTCTTAACCTTTTTATTCTACCAAGAAAATACAAAACATTATAAGGCTGTAAGTAACTATGTTTTGTTTAATAAGCTGTTACAGTGCAGTTAATCCTCAAGGCCACATATGCAGGCTTCACTGCTGCTTGCACTCAGCTGGTGGATTTGCCTCCTTCTGTTAAAAAAAAAAAGGATAGAGCATTACTGTAACAATCTTCCAAGATAAGCAGTTGCATGTAACAAAACAACCTATCTGCCCAAGAATTTTTTTTTTAATAACCAGCCCTGTTTACCAATATTCTACTTCATCTCAAGCATCTTATACTGGAAATCAGTTCTCGAATCTCACTGGTCCTTTAACAGAAGGAAACATTAAATCTGGCAAATATGCACAAAGGATAGACTCACTGGGTACAGGCCCCATAAAAACCGGCTATTACATCCCAGTAAATAAATGCTTCTGTGCCAATACTTCCGCTTACATGAAGGAGACAAACTGCATTGCTTTCTCTCTGGCCAAGCTGAATGGTCTGGAAAAGGGATGCTATGAGCATGTTTCAGGGTTTAGCTGAATCTGGCCAACATTTGGCCTGCAAGGGATATTTGCAAGGGTCATCACTATTCTGAAACAAATGTCGGTCTGGAACCACGTTTATTACTAAAAGCTGGGTGTGAGTTAGAGTTGCCCAGCTGTTTAGTATCTTTCTATAAGAGAAAACGTGGGTTGAATACCTGCTCTGTTTCACCTTTTAAGTAAAACAGTGAAAAATCTTTTAGATATGCTGAACATGAAAACAATGCACGTCAGTATCCAGAAAAATAAAATCCTGGATACTGACAATGTTACAGACATTTCAATTTTTCGGACCATGATTGAACTAGATATCTTGTGTTGAATGTCGCAGCAGATAAAACTCATGAAAAAAAAAAGGAGGCCATCTGCCCTCCTTGCGAGTGTGACATTAGTGCCATTAGTATCTTTGAGAAACACCTGCCAACTTGCATAAAACTTCTGGGGTGGTCCACGTGTGCTGGTCTGGGTGGAAGTGTATATTTGCTACAGAAATCCACTTAGTAGTCAGGTTGCCATCAAATTGTGCTATACTGAGGTCACGTGCCCTAACTTATTGCCCTGCCTAAGGACTCGTCTTGATTCTAACAGGTCAATGTTCTCATGCTGCTCATATAACAGCCTTCTGGACATGAGAAGTGAGTCAGGCCAAGGATTTCCTACTTGGCACTAGTTCAATAGGACTCCTCTGTAAGAAATTCTGGAACAGTGTACCCTAGGACTTAAACCAGCAGAAGGAGATCATGGAAACAGGACAATCTCTCAAGACCGTATCTGCAGCCTGGTGCAAAGCAAGTGCCATAGCTGCATGGTTTGTATTACTTTCAGTGGTGACCACATACTACTACCCTGGTGGTGATAAATCATAAATGTATTCAAATAGACCTTCTTCAAAAGATAAGACTGGAAAATTCCAGAAACCTGCAGTTGCAGTTATAAGTAATGTTTCTTTTGATGCCGAGACTATAAAAAAGCAACCAGGAAAATATGCATTTTCATTAGAAGTGCATTATTTTGATTCTTTTTCTGCATCCCATCTCCTCCAGCTTCAAGCTGACAGGACTGGACAAGAAGTGGGGGTGCTGTGCCGCCCAATAGGCATCTGCTGCTCCAAGTTTAAATAAAGAGCAACTGAGGTGCAAAGGTTTGCCAGAAAGACCACCCAACTTATTTATGGCAACTTTACATCGCACTAGACAAGAGACAGTGGAAAGAGGGCACAATGACACCTCAATTTTGGAAGGGCAAGAAGCTGAAGAAAATTTTTGGGCAGAAATGTTATCGCCACT